AGTGCCAACGCTTTTCCGCTCGTAGTCTTCCGCCCGCTTAATGACAGTGCGTCCAAGACCTAGATAGCATTGCATGAGGAATTGGAACGCCTTCTGGCCAAAGAGTTTTGCCAGGTACGCTCTGTGGGCGTAGATGTCGCCGCATGTCTTCACGCCTATAGCATCTAGCTCTCGTTCAAAGACACGGCCAATGCCGTTGACTTTTCGCGTGGGCAGTGTCTTCATGAATTCCATGATGGTCTGTCTGTCACTAGGAAGCAAGAACTGACCGTTGGGCTTGTTAATATTAGAGCAAATCTTAGCAAGCTTTGCATTGGCGGCAATGCCAGCAGATACGGTAATCTTGGCCTTTTCGTAGACATCGGCACGCATCTGGCTGACGGCCTCCTCTGCAGTCATGTGATGCTCGTTGCAGTATTCCGTGAAGTTGAGATAGGCCTCGTCGCAGCTGGCGCTCTCAAAGTTGGGGTCATACAGCGCCAGCACCTGACGGACCTCGTCTGCCTTGGCCATGTACTTTTGGAAATTCATGGGCACGCAAATAAGCTGTGGACAAAGCTTCATGGCGACAAAGCCTGCCATTCCCGAGCGGCAACCAAACTTCCTCGCGTGGTAGTTGCACGTTGTCAAGACGCCCTTTCCCACGGCAAAAGGAACGTCCCTGAGCTCCGGTCTGTCAAGCTCCTCAACGGCGGCATAGAAGGCATCGCAGTCAAGATGGACGACAATCTGAGTCAGGTCCCTGCCCAGCTCCAGCTCGGCAATGTAGTCGTCGGCTCTACGCACGTCGGAGGTCAAGTCGAGCTTCTCGAGGTGGCGCCTCTTGGCCAGGATCTTGTCGATCTTGTCTGTGAGGTTCTTGTCCTTGGCCTCTTCATTGTTGAAGAACTTGGAGCCCTTTGAGGCGTTGTATATGATGTCCGAGACCTTTGCCTGGTCGACCGAGTCCTGGCCTGCCTTTGTGAGCGAGGGGCCGAGCAGATGGTACTTGAGAGACTCGTGCTCGGTCGAGGGCGTGCGTGCAGGCAGCGGGGGCTCGGGGGAGGGTCGAGTGGTCATGGTGGTGTCGGCGTCGTGGTGGACGCCGGGGCCTGGGCCATGCTGGGGGTGGGCAGCGGCAGGATGAGATGATGATGTGGTGTCGGTGAAGGGGCCGACCCTGCACCGCTCAGCATTGCTCATGATATTAAGTGGGGAGTCATTTTGGCGCGAGGGCGAAAAGGACGGAGGACGGGGGCGCCGCTAAGACGCGAGGTGAGGAGAGAGGGCGTCGGGCGGCCATGACGCGCCTGGCCGCTTGTGCCGGTTGGGGCCTAGCGCCGTGTGCAACCTTGAGGGTCTTTCAGGGCCGCCAGATGTCGTTCATCTCAGTGCAGACGCAGACGCAGAAGCGGAGCCAGAACGCCCCCTCTTTTGCTGCTTGCTGCTGTTCACGCCCGGCTGACCATGGGCTCAACACCAATCAATCTACATCCTCACCCGCTGCCACTGTAGAAGTGGGGCCTTGCACGCAAATCTGAGGCTGTCGTGACCCTGTAGACACCCGACACGCCAGCTAGCGGCAACCATCAACAACCATCGTCAACACCGCCCTTAGGCCCGCCTCCCGCCCATTGCCTCCCTCGCCTGCAGGCCATGAGCTCCCTCTGCACCAGCCGCCTCCATCCCACACTGTAGCCCCGCCACCCTGGAGAATGCCCATCGAACGAACCGACCGCAATAACCCACGGCCGCTGAAGCCGACGCTCGCCAGTACCCGACCTGCTCCTGCGAAGACGCCCTTGACCCCGAGGCTGGCCGTTGCCTCGTCCGCCTCGTCCACCGTCAGCTCCTCGAGTACACGCACTGCCCGTACCGCCACCGGGGCTCCCACAAGGCCTCATGTCGCCGCCTCTGCACCCGACAGCGGCACCTCGGCCAAGGCCTTCCTCTCCACCACGCTCACGCCGCGCACCTCGTCACGCAAGTCGCGCGGCGGCGTAGACAGCGCTTCCACGACGCCCAATGCCACGCCCACAAACTCTCGCCCCAGCTCTACGGTCGACTTTCCCCACCGCGACCACCACAGCACCATCAGCAGCAGCCACAGCGCCGTCGGAAGGAGCAGCGGAGGTACTGCACGCCCGCGCAGTACCCCTGGACCGACCAGCCATGCCGCGCCCGCGCCCGCGCCCCGCGCCCCCGTAGTCAGCATGTACAACTACGCGCCATCCGACACTGGATCCAGGAGAGACACTTCCTCCTTGTTCTTCCACGCCAATGACGCCCGCCCGCACGACCAACCCGCGCCTGCCCCAGCGCCCGTCAAGAAGACGCCCACCTTCTTTTATGCCGATGGCCGACAAGACGAGAGTCCGTCGCACAACGTGCCGTCTCCGCCCTCGTCTTCCCTGGGGAGAGCACCCTCAGAATCCAAGTTCTTCCACGCAGACTCGATTGCTGAGTCGAGAGACCGCCCGCCCATCCTCACCCCGCCGCCCATTGCTACGTCGCCCGAGCCACTACCACCACTTGCAGCCCCCCATGGACCCTCTCTCCGCCCGCCCTCCCCCACCAAGGACTGGGCACATCTCTCGTACCGCAAAGGAGCCTCGCAAGTTAGACCAGCGTTGAGCCGAGGAACTTCGGCGAGCACAAGCAGCACGCCCATGGCCATTCTCGGTGGATCAAACACCTCAGACGCTTCCGATGTGAACAGACGCAGATCAAGCACGGCGTCGATGATCAAACGAGGAGGACATGCCAAAAGCTCCAGTCTCTCCTCCATTGACTCAGTGACCAGCCTGAGAAAGGTATCGGCCCATGAGGCCCCAGCCATGACTCCAAGCCCGCTGCATACCGAAAAGAGTGCCGCTGGCAATGCATCTCCGCCTGACAACCCCGCTTCAGCCTCTCCGCGCTACACCGCCTTCTCCCCACTTAATTCTCCCAAATCAGAAAGTCCGACAAGAGGCAATGACACCAAGAGTGCGCTAGAGGTGATGAATGAGCTTGCAGCAAATGCACGAAGGGAACGAAAAGTGCTGGATCTCGAAATCAGCAACTCGTCGCTTCTTGCCATCAACAGGTCCTTGGAGAAAGAGGTGCGCAAGCAAAAGGCCGAGATCAGGCGCTTCCGCCGCATGAGTCGAGCTGGACACTTTTCTGCAGACGCCATTGGCTCGCATGACGAGACCTCTGCCATTGGTGCTAGTAGTTTAGGGGATCTTTCGGATATGTCCGAAGAGGAAGGAATGCCTGAAGATGAAGAGGAGGAGGAAGAAGAAGAGGAAGAAGAACCTGAGAGCAGCGATTCTTCACTCGACGATAGTGCATTGAGTCCTAGTGCTCAACTTGAGCGGGATGAAGCGCATCGTTCGCGAGATCAGAAGCGCCTCCAGCTCGACCTCTCGAAGCATCGTGAGATGCTAAACGACAGTCAAAAGATGAACCAGAGCTTGAGAAAATGCTTGGGGTGGACAGAGCAGCTGATCAAAGACGGTCAAAAGGCACTGGAGTACAAAGTCAACGTTAGCGATGTCAAGCTAGGCGGCCGCGTACTCATTTCAGAAGACGACAACGAAGTCACTGACGCTGAGGAATCCAGGGGTCTTCTGAGTCCTTGGAATCCGCTGCAAAACACCATGGACGCATTAGACTCGCCATTCTTCCCAGAAACCAACCGCATGGTTGATCGTGACAGCGGGGTGCATTTTGACGGATCCGAACACATCCGGCGGAGCAACAAAGATTCCACAGCAACGTCTTCCAGCGTAGACAGCCAAGGTAAATCTACCAGCCCCGTCAAAGAGTTTCGTCCCAAGCTCCCTGGCCAGTGGGTATCATACCGAGACTCAAGCCTGAAGCCTCAAGAGGATCTCGCACCACTCGGCTCTCCCTTCGAGGAGCGTATCAGGCATCTCCACGCCTCCATTGATGCTTTGGAAGCATCGTAAAGAAAGAAAAAAAAAACTGATTATCCATTACCTATCTTCTTCTTCTTGTCACTGCGCATAGACGCATACATGCCCCATTACATTTTTGTTGCATTTAAACTTGGCGTTTATCAACTAGAAAGGATACAGGTCTGTATTACCCCCTTGGCGTAAATTGGCATATCACGTCGAATGCGATTTCGACGTCCTACGACCGTTTCCTTTGTTTTGCTATTTTTTTTTCTGTTGCACTTATACGGCCGCCCCAAGCATATTATTCTACTCTTCTTCCATTCTGTCTCTCGAGAACGACCAAAAAATTCGATCCGTAGGGGTCCCTTTTCTCTTTTTTTCATTTTCTTCTTCTCTCTGGCCGTCTTTCTTCGTCCGCCTTAATGTCTGAAATGCGGCCTGCTCATTACTACCCTTTGCTCGTTTACCCAAAATACGTCAGCATAGACTCGAGACCATGTTCACGCGGAGATTGAGGGAAAGAAGAAAGGAAAAAAAGGGGGGGCGGCGAAGAAGAGGACGAGCGTCGTCATCTTCGTTTGTTTGTTGCATTATTTTGGTCTATAAATAGGGCGCGCGCCTTTCGCCGTGCTTTTTTGCTTGGCTTCGAAACTTTGTGTGCTGCGGTTTTATGATACCCCTTACTCCTCTACAGTGATGATCTTGTTATGGATCTCAGAACCCCCCTCACATTATTATTTTTTATTATTTTTGATTTTAGGCAAATATATATAGGTTTGGGGAAATACAAAGTATTGTGCATGACAATTAGGTGTTCATGTGTGATGTTTGAAACAAGCAAGGTTTACTACCCTCAGTCAATGTCACTAAGGTGCACGGGTGCGCAACTAGGGGGTCGTAGTGTCATCTTCATCCCATGTTTTCAGCTAGTATACGTCTATCTTACATCCACATGAAATATGGAACCAGTGTAAGTAACTGGCCTGATCTATGGGGTATAGGTAAAAAAAGACCCGAATAATCCAATGGAAACCCAATTATGTCTTCGATAGACATTGAACCATCAAAGAAGAACAATAACAATAATGAAACGAGCCGATCAAAGTACATCATCTAAGCCCAGTAACCGAGTAGAGCCATCAAACCTAGTTGAGAAACATATTAGTAAAACTGCCGTGCTTGAAGATTGAAAGAATGTTAAAAAAACAAAAAAAAACTCACCAGCACCAAGCGTCATAAGTCCAAACGCCTTGAGGGTTCGGCTAACAGGCCCATTCTGCATGTACGGGCTAAACATGAACTCATGCGCCATAAGCTCCACGAGACCGGTATAGATCAAGATACCGGCACTGATGGAATCAAAGATACCGTTGGAGAGAAGCGTAGTACGGGACTCTGGGGCAAACGACTGACGAACACCCAGGCCAATGGCAATGGCAATCGGGGTGGAGAGCCCGTAGCCGATGCCGAGAAAGTACGGGGTCCAGCGCTTGGACGCGGGCCAGGAGACTTCGGCGAGGCGGGCGCCCAAACCGAGGCCCTCGAACATTTGGTGGAAGACGAGCACAATGTAGAGCGTGGTGAATTCGTCGCCAGCGACAGCGAGGGTGAGTCCGATGAAGATGGAGTGGAAAATGACGCCGAATTCGAGGATGAAGACGGCTGTGAGCTGGGCGGCGTAGTCGTTGGCGACGAAGCCGTGGTGCTCGTGGTCGTCGGATTTGTACTCGCCGCTGGCATTGTGTTGGCGCTGGTGGCCGAGATGATCGTTGCCACGGATGCTGGGGTTGCGAGCGGCGGCTTCAATGTCGTGGCTTTTGCTCTCTTCCACGCTGTTGTTGCTACCGGCCTTGGATTGCGGGATGGCTGCGTGAGTGTGGCTGGCGTCGTGTTGGTGGCCGCCGCCAAAGTTGCCGTAGCGCATCGTCATAAGCTCGAGGAAGAACATGAGAAAGATGGTCATGAGGGCGATGCCTTCTGGCCAGGGGTACTTGGTGATGACGCCAGTCAAGCATTCGTTGCCTAGTGCTTCATTTGCTGGTGCAAGCAGGTGGATGAATGCAGTCGCAATGATGACTCCGGATCCAAAGTATTTTGCGATGAAGAAGACCCAGTTTGGCACCAGTTTGTGTCTACTACGTTTTGCCATCACTGGGAAAACCGCGCCTGTGTGTCGTTAGCGTTGTTGGACTTGCAAACATTCTGGACAAACTAACCAAAGGTAGATGTCACAAGGATGACGAAAATAGACGAAACGCGGACGCCCATGCGCCCGTCATATTCGTTGGAGCCTTCGCAGGAAGACATGGTGTTGTGTTTTGCGCGCTGAAAGAGTCTTGAGATACGGATGTCCAAATACGTAAAAGGGGTGTTAGGAGCGATGGGTCGGAGAACGTGTAATACACTATACAAGCGAGAAGAACACCGAAAAAGATGATGTACTCGGACCACTATGGTTGCCAGTGACCAAAACTTGTCGCGAGGGTCGAGGAAAGAGAGATGAGGTCCAATAAGGAAGCCGTAGATGAGCTTGACTTTGCACCAAGGCTCGGTAATGGCTCGGCAATGTATATCTTGTCAGTCTTTGGAAGCGACAAGCACTATATATAAATTCTGGTTGGAAAACCAAGCACCGTGATGGCGATACGAAGATGCTTGAGGTGTCTTATCGAGGCTTGATAGCTGGAGAAATGCAGCACCGAGGCGGACCACAATACCGTAAGTACGCAAATGTGAGGACCTTGATGGGCCGCTAAGGAGAAGAATGTCATTCAAACACCATACATGCGCCGCAGTGGCGTCGAGCCTCCCACGCAATTCATGGGCGCATTTCCCTCCATCTTTCCCAGGATACGTAAAAAAGTCATCATAGTACTGTGGGAGTCAGAACTCTGGTGGTGCAACGTGCGCAAGGACCCTGATAAGATGGGGGTTGAGGAAAGTGGCGCAACTATACTCTCCAGCCACAGCGCGGTAGCCACGATGTTAGTCAGCAACCATGCTCTTTCTGTGCTTTTGGAGATGGCTCAACAGGCCCACTCCTTGAACAGATTTTTATACTCACGAACCTTCTCCGCTGACGCACCCGCATTTGGCCCTTGCACCGAGCAGGCGGACCGAACAGCAGGACGTTACAGTAAGTACTATTTAATAGTCGCCATGCTGCTAGTTTGCATATTGCTTGTTTGTAGTGTGCAGTAGCGAACATTACTGTCGAACACGTACATGGGACATAGTAATGGCGATGAGGTGCGTCTGTCTATGTCTGTGTGTATGTATGCATGTATGTATGTATGTAGATGCATATGGGCGGTTTGTGGCCGGTATTGATCGGTGTGGCCAAAGGGGATCCCCGTGGGAATGTACTCCTCTTTTGATGCATCTACGCGGCAGCCTTATTTCCTTTTTATTTGCGGCATTGTCGGAAAGACCGGAGTCTGGCGGGTGGGTGTGCAGATGGTTCGAGGTCTAGGGTAAGATGGGATGCAGATGGGATGAGGTTGATGGTACACCAGGGTACCCGCATTTCGGAGCCTGCTCGGCGCTTCTGGTTGAGTAGCGCTCACATGTACACAATGTACATGGAGTATCGAGCAAATCACACCACGTCGAGGCAGCGCAAGGAGCAGTAAGAGTACATTGGCAGTCGGGGAAGACTGCGGGGATTGCGACGACTAATAGGCTGAGGGCCAGGACAGGCCTTGCAAGTCACAACGACGGCACTTGAGCGGCGATGGCAGGGCACAAGGAAGCATCGAGGCGATCGAGAGCGGGTGTTGAGACGATTGGCAAGACAGAGTACGCAGGCTCATCGAAAAGTTAATCCCCATCGGCGGTACATGAAACCGGTTTCGTGAGGGGGCATGGACACAGACGCCCGGGCAACCGATGGAATGGCTTGCACAGACAATGCGTTGTGGGGTAACATGGCTGCGCTGCTTGGCGGCATGCTGCATCGATGATGTACCAAAGTATACTTACTTTGGCTGCGGCGTGGGCGAGTGAGACGGGAGGAGAGGGTAAGCTGGCGGCTGCAGCTGTCTGGCCATGTTGTGGCAGCTGTAGAGGCAGCTGGCGGGTGGTGTCTTGCCAATGGCTCGATAACGTGTCAAGCACTACCTACTTACGTACCACTGCTAGCCGGACGAGCGTCTTTGCCTGCCAGCCCCTCATGCCAAACGTAGAGATGCAAGGCTGGTGTTTGCGCATCCCTGTGCACATAACCCGCACAGAGCGGGAACCAATCGTAGCGGCCCACCGTGAGGGGCGATGACGTCTCGACTCCCGATTTGGACAGCTTCTGCCGCAGCTCCAACAGGTGACCGTGTAGCTGCCTGCCTTCTCCTCTTTATAACTCTGCCTCATCTCTTGCCCTTACTCACTTCCACCCTCCTCTCACCTCCCGGCCATCCTCCACCACAGACAGGTTTCTGTGAATTTGTCCAATTCCAATCCAACCCCCAACGACCAAGAACATCGTCGATCATGATCGTCGACAAGTTTGAGGAAGTCCTGCAGACAGCAGCCCTTCCAGCTGCTGCCTCTGTTGCACCCATCCCCTCCGTCATTCCTGGAAGCGAGCCTATCTACCAGGTTGCCGGTGATGCTGGACAGAAAGTCCTGTGGGTTGTCTTTGCCATCATGTTGATTGCTTCTGGTGCTTTCACTCTCATGTCATGGAACGTCCCCTTGGTACGTTGCAATCCGTCAGACCAGCCTCGTACGACCTCGATTGCCTTACAACATAGCAATTGGGGGGAGTACTACAGAGCTACAGACTCAATTCTCGCCAACTTCACGTCTAACACATGCAACAGAACAAGCGTCTCTACCATGTCGTCACCACCATCATCACCCTGACTGCTGCCCTCTCATACTTCGCCATGGCCACCGCCCACGGTGTTGCTCTGACCAAGATTGTCGAGCGTGAGCAGCACGACCACGTTCCCGACACCTTCACCACCACCTACCGTGAGGTCTACTGGGCCCGTTACGTCGACTGGACCATCACTACTCCTCTCCTGCTCCTCGATCTCGGTCTCCTTGCTGGCATGGCTGGTGGACACTTGATCATGATGATTGTTGCTGATATCTTCATGGTTCTGACCGGTCTCTTCGCTGCTTTCGGCTCCGAGGACACTCCTCAGAAGTGGGGCTGGTACACCATCTCTTGCATTTCCTTCATCTTTGTCTTCTGGCACCTGGGTCTCAACGGTGGAGCCAATGCCAACGCCAAGGGTGAGAAGCTCCGCGGCTTCTTTGTTTCCATCTCTGTCTACACCGCCATTCTCTGGACTGCCTACCCCATGTAAGTATCTACTGTCCTGCTCATGCACCCCGCTTCATACTAATACTACACAGTGTCTGGGGTATTGCCGACGGTGCCCGCAAGGTCAGCGTTGATACTGAGATCATTGCCTACGCCATTCTCGACGTTCTCGCCAAGGCTGTCTTCGGTGCTTGGCTTCTCATTGTCCACGCCAACATGCGCGAGAGCGATGCTGAGCTCAACGGCTTCTGGGCCAACGGCCTCAGCCGTGATGGTGCCATCCGCATCGGTGAGGACGACGGTGCCTAAGTGTGTGCTGTCAATCCTAGATACTTCAAGCAACTCGCATAAGATTGTCTAGACAAGCGTGGTTCGCCTCAAGTGCAAGTTCATGAGGACCTGAACCAGATTCGATGATGCAAAAAATAGCTTGGCGGTACATGTTCCTCTTCATATTGTTTTCGATAGCATCTCTCTTCAGTAGTCAAGCCTGTCGTCAGCGGAGTCGGAGGCTCGCGGATAATCATGGGACGGGTAGTTTATAGCGTGGTCTGTCCATATTTAATGAGAAAATGATTTGGTCTGATGTCCTGTGGCCGATGCTGCTTTGACTTGAGGGTGATCTCTACGCTGCCATTGTTGTTGCCATACTACGGATATGGGGTTGAGCATGTGATTCTAGCAAAACACGTTGCTGTAAGCTTGCCCCAAGTAATGGTCTGGTCCCAGGCAGCAGAGACATGGATGGTTAGTCAGACACAACAACAAGATGCTGCCTGAGCATTGCACAGGGCGTCTAGCAAGTGGTTACAGGCGTTACAGACATGTGTGCATGGGAAGCTAGAGACTGCGTAAGAGCATTGATTTCTTTTCTTCTTCTTAATTTCCTTGGGTTTGGTGTCAGAAGGCAGTGTTTCTATTTTCTCCCGCGTCAAGGCAAGTCGAAACAGAGAGCGGCATGTGGATGCCGGCTAGCCTGTTACATGTGCCATGCGCATTACGAGTGTTGATCAGAAGCCGTCCCCAAACATAGTGCCTGATGCATGCGCATACTGGCCCCCCCACGTCACTTGTCGAAACTGAGTGCCTCAAAAGCAAAAGACCAAGTCGCATGCGCATGCAATCTCCATTGCCTCAGTGCACGGGCATGGCCGCAGTCAGCCACAGCGAAGATCACGTCGGCGGTGGGATGGCACCACGGTGGTCTCAGTCTCACTCGACGCAAGATGACGGTAGGCGCCTGACCCTGGCACTGGTCTTGGGCGTTGTGGATATGCAGGGGTCAAGCAGGCGGCTGCCCCGCAACCAAGGCCGCGGGCAGCAAGCTACCTCTCCCCTCTCTTATGGTTTGCCTGCGAGCTCCCCTTTTAAGTACCCCGACAGCTGCAGAGTCTTTTGATCGCCTACACCTGCATTCCCCACTGCCCATACTATTCACCGTCACACCACCAGCTTACCCACAACTCCCCACCACTTGAAAGTCGCTAGTCACTCTGACATCATCATCACCATCACCACCATCACCACCATCATGGCATCCGAGAACACCGACTTTATCGACGAGACGTCCATCTCGCCTGTTCGCTCCTCGGAAAGGCGCAATAGTCTGGAGAAGCACCTGCAGCACCGTCCGGAACCCCAGGACCTCAAGAACAGGCACATTCTGCTAGACACCACAACAGCTCCGTATGCATCTCCCCGCATCTACGCCTAGATCCCCACTATTCCACGCCAAGCTCAATTGCGCTTTGACATAGTAGCTAACATGCGCCTGCTCTACAGCGCCCTCCAAGCCAAGGCTCTCGAGCTCGAGCGACAGCGCGCAACAGACAACCTCAAGCGCGGCCTCAATGCCCGTCCCGAGCGAGCCGAGCTCGTCGACCGCAACATTCTGCCCAACTCGACAGCAGCGCCTGCCCTCCAGGGCCACCAGAAGGAGCTTGAAATGCACATGCGGGCTGATAGCCTGGAGAAGGGCCTCCAGAACAGACCAAGTCCAGAAGAGCTGGTCAAGAAGGGCATTCTCGACGAGGACGAG